TCCGGTCACTAAGTGGAGTCAGTGAGCGTCCTCATTGTTTCAATATATGCGGTATTACGATAGGAGTGGGTCTGGCGTTTTTGAGCTGGAAGTGTGCCCGATGAGTACTCGATAGTATGAAGGCCTGGCGTCCATTCGCTTATGAGGTAGCTCATAGGGTTGTCAGTTCCATCTGCACCCTTTCAGGATTGCGAAACAAAACAAACCTGACGGTCAGCAAAACTCACGACTGTCTATTCGGTCTTTGGTCTGGTTTTACCTCGTTTGGAGTGGATGCATCTCCCCCTGCAGAGCTTACAAACGAATTCATAAGTATGCAATATTATCGGATGATGTACCAGGTGGAGACAACCCATCGCTGGCAAGCGTCCTTACAAGGATGACTTCCAGTAGTCTCAGTAGTCAGTTTGTTTTTCATTGAATGCAGTCTGTGCAACAGGAAGTCTGCAGGTTCTCGTGCTTTCTGGACTACAGTCCAAAGAAATAAACTGAAAAGCGTCCACTCCATCCATACGCTCGGTTAGACTCCGAGAAATACCTTAATCTTGTCAGTAAAAGCATGAATGCGAGTCCCCGGAGGCAGAGGAGAAGGTGTAATCGGTATCGGTGGAACCAGAGATTTATTCGCTCGAAGCCATCATCAGAGGCAAAAGCAGATACGGGTGGTCCGTGCACAGAGCGGATGCAGTATTTATAGGATGCAGTCGCCATGCTAGCGCATACCTATGAATATTCACGGCTCTCCCCCCTTTCATCAGGGATCGTTGCACGTGGCGTGATGGCCGACATTCGCATCGTCAATTGCTGCAATTTCATCATGTGCGTTGGGTGTTGGTGTGATGATTGCTCGATCATCTGGCCCACCGATCCTGGCGCTGCGAACAGTGTTCACCTGTGTATTTCCTGCACGGCTAATTACTTCGCCTAGGCGAAGTCTCAGCATCGAATATGAAAGGAAAAGGTCATGCACATGTTAGTAGAATTGGGGCCAATACACCATGACTCAAGCAGCTCGCGGTTCACATGGTTGTCACATTCAGCGAGAATTCCGGCCTCGTCGAATTTAAATGTGTGGTCGGATCTCGTCAAATAATGCTCTGCCACCAAGACATCGTGTCGTGCTAAGGGAATTTCACACACATGTATGACACAAAAGATGCCAGTTGGCCGGAGAGGGCTGTGAAAATTGTCGACTTGCTATTGCTTCTCATATTTTCTGTTGACATACAAACTTTAGCTTTGGTGATTGATAAGTATCTTTCTTATTCTTCGCCTTCCTCAGAGTAATATTTGCTTGGTACCGAAACGTTTGCATCTATCTAAAATCCGTTCAAAGACGGTTGTTCGCTTTCCAATGCATCATCTTTTTCTTCCCACAATCTTCTTCTAACAGTCCTAGAAATTAAATGAAAGAAGTCGATATCAGGCAAGTAATGTCATGCCATTTTGAAAATAACCAACCTAGTTTGATGAAACGGCAGGGGACAAAAAAGCATTGTTCTTGGTATTTCAGCTTTTTTCATCATACGTTAGCATAAAAAAATGTCTATTTGGGATAAAAATAGTATATTATCCCCTTGATGAGGGCTATTTGTTGGATGGCATGCCACACCCATTGGGTGTGCTATCCGTTGCGGAACTCTGATAAATGTTCCGCTCAATGAGTCTTGACGTGAATAAAGTCGACTTTCACCACATTATCAGCCGACTCTAGTGGATTAAGCAGTACTTTGTGGTAAATGGTATAGTCTCTGCGCAAGAAATGGACAAAACCGAAGAAATCATTATGAAGATAAAATAAAAGCCTATTAAAAGGATTTTTTGTTGTTTTCACCAGTTTCCTCTCGTTTATAACCATTTTTTCGATAACATCTCCGTCTATTTGATTTCCAGAGGAAGAGTCGATTGTTGGAAACACCACAGAACATATGCGTCTACATATGTCGTGGGAATTGATTACTCGTGTATGACTCATATACACCAGCTGGGAACAGACTGTTATTAACACATCTAAAACGAAGGAAACATTTCCGTCAAGGAGTTTGCTAACTGGCATGTTCAACTCAGAGAAGATAGCTTCGGTTTCCAAATACTCTATTCACCTGCATGGGCGAGGCTATAAAACAAATTATCGGCAGCCGTCGAACATTTTCCCATACCACTGCGACTTTGCAGTCACAAACGCCGGTCATTTTAAGTAAATCGTGCTGCACTGTATATATTAATCCGTTTTCTATTAAATGGCCGCGAATCATTTGTCAGCAAACGCCAGTGGCACAAAACCGATTTAACGTTGGCATTCAAAAATATCAAGTTGCGTAAGGTCATTAGTTAATTTTTTTACGTTCTAACAAGGCATTATGACATTCCGCCAAAGTCGGTTAGATGTCCGTTTTCTGTTAAAAGCACCGATCGTACTAAGGAGGCCAAAAAGTATGTTCTCTGCTGTTAGTGCCCACGACAGGAAATGCTGGTTCGCAGATTTTTTGAGCTAATCATAACTCAACTACGCCTGCAGCCAGCCATAACGCAACAAACATATGCCCAACGCGCTTTGTTCATAGAAGTAAAACCGGCGGAAAAACTGTGTCGTAAAAACGAATTTCAGAGGAAAAGGTGGCGAGC